TGGATGACAATTAGATCTGATGACTTGAAGCTGTGAGTAAAAGCGCATTAAAAATGGATATTTTAAGGTTTTTACCCGTTCAAAGCTTTACTTTTTTGCTTTTTTTTTTTTTAAACAAGAGGACAGGAATGGTACCAGCACATAAAACAGAGGATATATTTAAGCCTATATCTCCTATGTCAGTGGTTATCAAACCTGTCCTGGAGTACCCCCAGCCCTGCACATTTTGTATGTCTCCCTCATCTATCACACCTGATTCAACTCGTCAGCTCATTAGTGGAGACTGCAAGACCTGAAGTGGGTGTGTCAGATATAGGGAGACATACAAAACGTGCAGTGCTGGGGGTACTTCATGGAGAGGTTTGAGAACCCCTGTCCTATGTGAAGCTCACCTCACCATAGCTCAACATTAACCCCTATGCCACAGCTCCAACATGACTTTTCTACCATAGACCGCCTTGTCTGCATTTAACAAGGCAGCCCACTTTAAGTGACATAGGTATTCGCATTTTAAACCTGTTCCTTCACCCACACAACTTCTTCAGCCAAGCTTGTTAAGACATATTCTACACTTTGTATAGATGTTTCAGGTCGGCCTGTCCTTGCCACCTCAGACTAGAAGAGTTGTTCCTTTGCAGTAGTGATTCAGACTCCCCACAGCATACAGTCTCTCTCTTTCTCTCCCTCCTCTAATTAAGATGCTCCTGTGGGCATGCTGCCTGCATTACTGTCTAAGCACTCTTCCCTCCCCTCACTCCTCAGAGAGGGAAGCTACATTGTCTGCTGTTCACACAGGTTATGCCTCGAGGAGAAAAATCCATTCCTGGGCCAATCTCTTTGAAGACACTGCAATCAATTAGATCTTTCCTAGCAAGAATTCTACGAAACGATTAGATCTGTTATGTGGTTACATTTTTATTTCTTCTGATGTGGACTCGATATGTTGAATAATGATGGTCCTAGATATTTACTTGCCGCACATGAGGAATTTAAAGTGAAAAATCTGTCATTACTCACTCTCATGTCATTGCAAATCTATATGCTTTTATTTTTAAATGAACGCTATGTAATTTTTTTTGTTCAGAATGTAAAAATTGATATGAGCCAGTACATCCATCTTCTGAAACACGTTTTTGTCTTGTCCTGAATTGCTATGGTATGCCTATAACAAGTGTTTATATTTGGACGATTTTAGACTGCTTTACCTGTGACTCGTCATATACAGAACATAAACAGAGCGAAGCAGTTCTAGCTACAAGACATATGCAGTTTTGGCTATAGCCATTAGCATTTTCATTTAATTATTAGTACAAAATGCAGTTTTATTGTCAAATGTTGAGATCAGATACTTTCGAGAGTTTTTAATGACTGTTTTTTTTAGAGTTGGATTAGATACAGTCAGTTGTCTTTATCTATACATTCAATAAAAATATTAAACAAATAAGAAGATGGAAAAATATTTGGTAACACTTTATTATAGGGACCAATTCTAACTAGTAACTAGTTGCTTATTAGCATGCCTGTTATTAACATATCGGCTGTTTATAAAGCTTATAAAGCTAAATACTATTATAAATGCAGTGTGTGCAAGACCTGATGAAAAAGATCAGAATGAACATTTATACATTTGTATTAAATTTTAATCATTATTCTGTAATTTTTCATTCACGTAATTTCACTGTATGTAATTCACATATTCATGGCAAAATTCTTAATACATTTTCAACGTCACGCTGTCAACGCTGTTTAAGATTATTAGCCAAAATATTCAACATTGTTAAATTTCTTTAAGGCAACGTCTGCGCATTCATTCATCTATTTTAATACTGCTCTTATGAAAATTAACCATGGTATGTGTAGCAAAACTGTGGCAATACAAATGGAAATCAGTACGCGGAAAAAATAAAATAAAACATGGTTACATGGTTACATGGTTTAAAAAATGTAAACGGGTATGAAATATGATCAGTAAGAGAAAAACATTGTTAATGAGAAGACGAATTCGACTGCAGCAGGTTAGTTGGGAAATAAATGTATGTATTATTCAGAATGCACATTTGGAAGGGAAATGTATTAATAGGAACATTTCAGCAGGTTGAAGATGTAGGCCTAAACATCCTCAGTTTTGAAATGCATACTCCACGCGAACGTGCTCCCGCATAATATTTTAGAAGAACCTTAATTCATCCCACCACATCTCATCCGTGTTGTGTCAGGAAATCGTGAAAACTGAGGCAGTGTGTCGTTGTTAAGAATTAAAGCAGCCAGGTACGCTGCAGTAACACTGGCGAAAGAAAGGAAAGAGAGGATTCTCCCATTAGTTTTGATTGCATTGCGATGGGACCGAAAGTTGCGATACACTGCTTCACTTACCGGATACAGGAAGTGTGATAAAGGTCTATACCTAAACTTAACAACTACCTTTCTAATTATTAATAAGCAGCAAATTAGGAGTTTATTGAGGCAAAAGTCATAGTTAATGTTTTGTTAATAGCGAGAATTGAACCTTAAAATAAAATGTGACCAAATATTTAATTGAATTCATTTTATAAAATACAATTGATGTGTATTTCGAACTACATGCTATCATATGAACAATATAGGTCAGTTGATCATACAAGCTTTAAAGGGTTAGTTCACCCAAAAATGAAAATTCTGTCATTAATTACTCACCCTCGTGTTGTTCGAAACCCGTAAGACCTTCGTTCATCTTCGGAACACGATTTAAGATATTTTTGATGAAATATAAGGGGTCTCTGACCCTCCCATAGACAGCAAGGTAACTACCATGTTCAAGGTCCAGAAAAGTACCAAGATGATCGACAAAGTAGTCCGTGTGACATCAGTGGTTCAACTGTGAAGTTACGAAGCTACGAGAATACTTTTTTGCGCAAAGAAAACAAAAATAACGACTTTATTCCACATTTTTGTTTCTACTGCATCACTTTGGACGCACGTTCACGACAGTATCATGACGCAAGCATGTGGCGGCGCTGACCCAGATCTGACATAATGACGTCATCACGCCAGATCTGGAATATCTTAAATTGTGTTCCGAAGATGAACGAAGGTCTTACGGGTTTCGAACAACACGAGGGTGAGTAATTAATGACAGAATTTTAATTTTTGGGTGAACTAACCCTTTAAGAGCACAGTAACATTGCTTGATTATTGATCATTTCTTGATTAATTTAAGTTGAACATGTTTGTCAATTCTTTGTAATTTGATAACTCACTTAATTCTTTAATTTGCTCCAACTAATTCACTAATTCAGTTGTTTTTATTCACTAAAAACAAGTAGCTAGTGTCACAAAATCATGTTTAGCATTGGGGATTCAGTAGTCAGACTTTTCTTTTTTGTAAACTTTACAGATGTGGTTTCAATGGACTGCATAAAGTTTCCTCAAAAAATTCTACTTCTCTGTTCCACAGGGGAAAAAGTAATAAAATAATTGCATGCTGGATTGGAACTTTGTGAGGGTGAATAATGACAGAATTTTATTTTTTTTGGTGAAACTATTCCGTTAATTACATTTTCTTTGGTTTCTTCTTTACTTTGGCAATGTGTTTCTTGCCTTAAGTCATCCAGCTCAGAAAATAAATTGTGTGACATCGTCTACTTGGTTGTTCTAATGAGAGAGGACTGTATTCCACAGCTGCTGTTAGTTGAAACAAAACATTTTCTTCCTTTGATTAGTTTTTTTGCTCATTACTTATGGTTTGGCAGCTAGTTTCACTTTTTATGGTAGAGTGAGAGGTACTGTAATTTATACCATTGTCCTGAATAAATACTATGTTCATTTAATATTGTGTATACAGTACATGGTTCTCCGGGATACTTGAAAAAATATCATGGCACTAACATGTTAATATCCAAAAGGGCAAAATAATGCCATGGTAATTTGTCTTATTGTTTTTTTGGACTAAAACACATATGCCTCAGGAGTCATATGTTCTGTAAAAATAAATCTGTTTTAGAGCATGAGAGTTAAAGCTGTGACACTTACATCTTCTTTGTTTATGTTCTTCAACATGAAGTAACTGCAGACATTTCAGCTGCACACTGACATGGATTTAACACAACACACAATTGCACAGAACACAGTAAGCTCAGTTCAGACAGAGAGAAAGAGGGACCTGGTAACAAATGTATTCCGACTTAGCTCACCTTTGATGTCAGTCCCACAAATCCAAGGTGCTTTGAGCGCGTCTGTCCTTGAAGTCGAAGCAGAGAAGAGTCCCTTGTGGGAAAGATATTGTAATCCTTAGCAGAATAAGAATAAGCATGTTGAAGAATTGTTTTGTTGAAAGAGTTTCAGAAATTACCCCTGAGTCTCTCAAAGATCATAGAGAAATAAAGAAAATACGATAGCGAGATGAAAATATTACCCCACATTTTTAAGTTTTTAAATGGGTTCGCCTAGGTCAGTCTGCCTTTTAAGGTTCTGATGTTGATGTTCAGATAGTTTTGACTCAGAAATCCAGTTTTTGATGCCTGTGCTTTCCCTGCATGGACTGAGCATACTACTAACCCGAAGATTCATAGCTGAAGAAAAACCAAACTCATTGCACCTTTATTGTTTATTTTTGGCTTTTGTTTATAAGCAGTAACTGAGACCAAAGATAGGGAAGCATGGAAGGAGTCACCTGCATGAGCATCCCTGCACGTGTCCCACCAGGACACATCTCTGACCAAATTCCTTCCTGAATAGAGGTTCGGCATTATGCACACCCTAATTTGTGGAATGCTTATGAGTAAACACAATGCCGTGGCATTACTCTGTAACGAGGAGAAGAGAAACTATTTATAACTCTGAAGTAAACAATCCACAGCCACACATCCCAGCTCTTCATATTCTCAGCTTGAACCCTGAGGGGGGGAGTGTGTGGTTGCACCGACTCACTGTTGTAATATGTAAATAAACCTGCTAATGATGCAGCGTGGATTGGCCCCATCGCATGTGTTTAATTCTTGTGTATTGTCGTCTCTCTCTTGCAGCTGCTGTATCGAGCAGAGGTTCTTGGGAGGAGAGCTCCAGTTCCAGTCAGTCCTCTCTAACAGCCTTAACCCTCACGTCCACACGCTTCCCGACTGACTGCTCAGCTGACATCAAAGGTACCCACCCAACCCGGCTGTCTGCTTTTTACTTTCTCCCATTCATTACTGTGCATACTTTCACCAGTTGCACCACTTTATCTGTTCCTTCATCATCATCCCATGAAATTATGCTGAATGTCATGGATGTTTTATTTTTGTATCTTTGATTGCAGATTACTCGTAAAGCAGTTGAATGAATCCATATATAATAATGCATATAAATTAGTTGGATTATACCATATTTTAAAGTATGTAGGTGAGGATGAGTATTTGTGTGTGTTTCAGAAACAATTTATTTGTTTCTGAAACACAGTGTACGCTGGTGTTGAGCGAGCAGATATGAGTGGCCGTTTTCAATTCATTTTCTGTGGGTGATGAGTGGCAGGATCGCACAAGGGATTGTGGGGAAAAACAGCGTAGCGTCATAAAGTCTGAAATGCTCAATTCGATGCAAATGAGAGGCAAAAATGACAGGTAGCAGTCAATCACTGAGGAAAAGACAGTGACGTCTGTCATAGTTTTTACAATCTGCTGATTGACCCCAACCTTTGGATCGGTAGTATATGTATATAGTGAAACATGACATGGGACTCCACCATTGGTAATTTTGAATTATTTTGGATTCTCTACATGGTATGATGTTCGCTTTCAATGTACAGTAGACAGTATAACACCCAATATACACTATATTCACTTATAATGAAAGTAGTATCAAACCTACAACACTACATTATAGTTTTTGTTGAGTTCTTACATTGTAAAATATCTACAGTAAAAACCCTTAAAAAGGTAAAAGATAAGCAACTGCTTAAGATATCAAGACTTTTTTTATAGATCATTGGATCTAAATACAAGTGGATTTTTTTTTTATTTGTTTTATACTTTTTTTCTAAAGCTTTTTGTGTATTTTGTGTATTCCTAAAACTGACAGTGCAGTGAGACAAAAAAATGTCAAAGGTACATTATTTGAAAGCTTACTATTTTATGCACTGTTGCTTGCTGCTCAATTGTTTCAGTGATTGTAAGATATTTTAACTGGAAAATTAGACAAACTTACTTGTACAGAATAGAATTTATGCAATGTACCATTATAATCAATTATATTGTTTAAAATGTAGTTCTTGTTTTAGGTTTGTATGCTACATAATGAATATGACGTGCAAATTTTATTAATTGAAATTAATAATTGTGATTGTAATATCAATTCAGAATTTTTTGTGATTGGGACAGATCTTTTGGTCCACTGCACACTTAGCATGATATCTTTTACATTTTTTTATTATTATTTTTTTTACTTGCCTCCGTATTCTCACAGTATTATCAGATGGTGAAGATGATGTATAATTCTGTCTGAAATGTGCATACTCTCTGTGTAAATAAAAAAAATGAGGATGCATCCTCTTTGAGAGGCGTCAAAGCATGGCATGCCTTTGATTTTTTTCACCGTACCCATAACACACTGTGTTATTTAAGGACTTGGAACCTGAGCAGGGTTCTACGGTCATGAAAAACCTGGAAAAGTCATGGAATTTTAAAACACCAATTTCCAGGCCTGGAAAAGTTTTGGAAAAATAAATAACCCCAGAAAGTTTTGGAAAATTAATTGAAATCTATTTCACAAAACTCTGTATAATAGAATTGTGTTTAATCAGGTCCTGAATTTCGGTGCGGGATTGCGCATAGGCTATATCGCATACTTTTACTCATTCCCGCAGCTTTTGACTTTAAAATGATGGATATTCACACATTTATTCACTAGCCTATAGTATGTAGGTTTGATGAGTAAATAATCAAACCTACAGACTGAGTCCAGTCCACACAAACTGATCAAATCAGTCATTTGAAAACAGCGTGAGTGATTCAGCTGTACGCGTCTTCTCTCTTTGACTTTCTCTTCAAACGGCTTCACATTGGCGCATCTTGTCTGCGCTACAAGAGCTGCTGCACGCTGCGATACAAGACTTTCACTCGCATTTCGGGACAGTTGACAGAATTGTCACTTGCCTAATCGGGTCATTGTTGCATCGTCAG